CTACATTTAAAGTGGTGCAACCCACAGGCATAGTGGAGGTTGAACCTTTACAGAGTGAGGACAACGAGACCACTTCGCTGGCGAATGAAGGCGATGAAAGCGATAAAGATGCCGAGGCAAATAAAGAAATCGAAAATACTGCCACAGACACACAACCACCCGTGGCTACGCTACGCGCTAAGCCGCTAGAGCTGAACGCTGATAGAAGTAGTCTCTACCTTACTAACGGCATTAGCAATAGCAACTCACCCAACCGTGCCAATGAGACTATCACAAGCTCTATAGGTGACATCACTGTCGACTCTGTGCGCGACCATTTAAATACAACAACCACCACATTGTGTTCTACTACTACAGAGGAAACTGTTGGTGAGTAAACCACTTCTTAGTGATTTAACATAACACCGCTTTTGTCTGTTCTCTTGTAACAATAACCATACAATTTATATTATTTCTGCAATTTTTTGTTCATTGTCCAGATCAGTGTGGCCTTTTTTCGTTTTTATTTAAATAAGCCGAATGTTTACCTTTTTATCTACCCTTTGATTTTAGATATGCGACAGTAATTGTACAACCGACATATAATCCAGTCCAATTTTGTCATTTTAAAGCTGCCCACTATTTATTTCTACAATCTTGACACAATTTTAAGTGGTTTTGCATGCCCTATGTAATGTTTTTGAACGACTTTTAATAATCTTTCACTATGCATACATATTATTAATTCAATGTATATAATTTTCCAAACGTAGGTCGATTATCTGTGCTTAGCACGCAAACGAACCAAGCCATTACTACCGTGAACATGAAGGACATTCCCGACATTAACATACCCAATTTAATGGACTTGGCATCAAAGAGGTGTGTTCTCTCGAAGAAGGACACATAAATAACAATAATAAATGCTTCTTATCATTTTCTTCGAAACAGCAACACGACAGAGACGAGCACCAGTTCTGTAGTAATAAAATCAGTTATCACGAGCATATCACACGAAAAAACAAACGGCGAAAGCGAAAACGTAACAACAAAAACCACCACACATGAAGAAAGTCAGTTTTAAATAAACTAAGCCATTATGGCATATATTTTATACTTTAAATATGTACCACACCACGCGCGTAAACATCTAAATGACACTTTATATATACAAGATCGTCGTGGTGAAAACGATACGCAGGCAACTGTTGCATTTCCGACAAAATTAATTATGTTATTTTATGTAATTCAAAATAATGTTAAGTTTAAATTGTAATAATCCATACAATCCGTTCGCGTTTACAAGTTTTTAGTGGAATTCAGTCCTTTTTATATGTATGTATTAGTCCTTTAAAGATGACAAAAGCTGCATACCAGTTGTATATGAGCTGGTTACATTTCCACACTTATTGATAGACAAAAAGTACAATACGGAACACGTATGCCTTACAAGAAGTGAGTATTTACAACAGATTTTATACAAGTATTAAAAATTCAGATCATTATACAACTTTTATACACAAGTATTTGAATTGGTATGGGCGCATTAGCAGGTAAGTTTATGTACGACACACAGGTAAAAAGTCAAAGTATACCTCAATAATAAGCAGATGGCTGGATATGTGCAGTCGTCCTCGTCAAAAAGATCCATCCAGACCAGCGTGCAGATGCCTAGCGAGAGAAAGCGCAGCTTCTTTTGGTTTATGGCACGCTCTAGTGTAAAAGCACAGAATTCCAGTGCCGTAGCCTTCTTTGGCTTGGTATATGTCTCCTTAACCACGCCGATGGTCACCTACGAGTAGTCAGGCACCGTGGCCGCTCCAGTATTTCCCCCATTCCTCGGCAAGTGTCTTTGAAACGCTCGGGCAGCACAAATTTCTCGTCCAGTTTCTGTCCCAGTGCCATCACACGGCTGCCCACACGCATCAAAACCATCTTAGTTGCTAGTTTCTGTTATCAATTTGGGAAAACTGCATTCATATTTTTTGTACTGTATACCATATGGTTAGTGATTTAACGCATTTAAAGCAGAGGTCGGCAGCGTCGTAGGCACTGTGCATAGGAACAAATTTCGAGCAGCGCAGTCGTCACACGTAGAAGCGTAAAGACTTCGTGTGGTTTCGTTATTTTGCCCGCTTGCCTCAGCGGCAGAGAAGCATTCTTGTGCCCTATGCACAATTCTTCGGCTTTCGCAGCGGCAGAGAAATAAGTAACGTATTTGACTTCGTGTCTGTTGTTTTCGCACACAAACGCACCAAAAAAATGTGTGAGTCTGTATGCCGACCCCCGATTTAAACTTTAAATTTTAAAGACTTAAAAAGCCGATTCTCCTACGATAACTTTGTAGTAGATTCGGATCACCGATCCCGAGTGTTCGTTCATATCTTAACTGGAGCATCGCTAGAGCCCCCAAATTTACATGCATATGTGTAATTTGCAAATTTCAAAGTTAATGAATGGAAAACATTGAATTAATTTTTTAGAATTTACTTAAATTACAAATGTACATGCGTATTAATGGTATACATGGTTAAGTTAAATAAACGCCGTCAAAACTGAAACGCAACTACATCGTCCGACTTGACACATTAACAATTAAGCGGCAGCGGAAGTTTGTTTAAATATAAAAAATATATATCTGTATCTCACAATTCGCGTGTCACTACTGTTTAGCATTCCAAATGCTCGCCACATGCTCGGCAAACTCGTTTAGATGTGTGGTGGTTAAGGTTGATCAGAATGTGGCATGGCTCCTTATAAAGTACACATCGTACTCTTTCTCGATCCATTTTATCAGCTTGTCCACGTACTTGATCACCGTAGCCTTGTCAACTACCGGCTCGAAGACTGCGTATAGCTCGTACGTACCCGTCGCCCAGGCCAGCACTACTTCTCGCTCTTTCACCTCGTAGATAAGCTTCAGCGGCCGGGAGCTGTTGTGGATGCGATGCAGCAGACCGCAGTAAATCGCCTCAAGGCGCTCCAGCTCCTGCAGCGATTTGTACGGATGTCGGAGCATGGGACACAGCAGCTGGGCCGTCGTCTTGGGCTTGTACAGGAAGTGTCGCAGCTCGGGAATGCCCAAGACCTGCTGATACAGTTTCGCATTGAATGGCTGCTGTAAGCTCCTCGTTGATCGCCTCCAAGCAGTGGCTGCGCCGCAGCTTTTCGGTTATCTTAGCCTTGGCCTCGGCCAGCGTAAAGAAGGCATCCCGATCCACTGAAAGCAGCAGCAAGCACGCCTGGCAGTCGTCCGCCAGATACGAGACATGGGCATGCAGGTATCCGTTCATGTCGAACTTGGGCAGGCAGATGGGTGACCAGTTCTCGGAGCTTTTGAAGGACTCGGAGCACTCGACCAGATTGAAAATCAAACGCAGATCAGCCGGATGAATCGAGTACTTCTTCATGCGCACCAGAGCAATCAGCTTGTTGTTGGCTATCAGCACGGCAAACACCAGATTTTTTATCTTCGAGCAGTTGCTCTGTATGGCGCTTGTGATCTGCGAGCGAACTGTCGTCGACAGGGGGAAGACGCGAATGGAGTTCGTCAAAAATGTGAAGATGTTGTTGGATACTGCAAACGAAATAGAGAGAGGTAATATTAAATCACTGGCTCCTATATGGATCGCGCCTCACCTCGAGCACTGCTGCTGTCGTTGGCCAGCAGATTGAAGAACAGCCGCTCGCTCCCGGAGAGCAGACGACGGAGATCAAAGTTCTTGCGCTTCTCGAATATCTTCGTCATGTGTGAGTAGGTCAGTATGGATAGTATCTGATTGTAGACATCCCTAGAAGATAAATTAGAACATCCATCAGTTGTGCAGTTCTCTTCAGGTCCATTGAATAGCTCACCCCAGCTGCAGATGCAACTGCTGGACACTCATGTTGGTGCGCGTTGCGGCCACCAGTATGAGGGAGCTACGCTGCATGAAGGCAAACTTGATGCCGCCCGCATGTATGGACGTGATGGCATCCTGTCCGAGCTGCACGAAGCTGACCAGGGCCTGAATGACCCCAAAGAGGGTGACCAGCTTGTCCTCGTTGCCGTGGAGCGAGAAAATCGGCTTGCCCGCCTCGCTGAGTATAAAGATGTGCTTATTCTGTCCGCGCCACACGCTGTCGTGTTGATAGTCGTGTTGATCGTCGTCCAAGGCGACGCTGCTGCTGCTATCTTCCGTCTTGGCGCTGGTGGAGGTGCTGAGGGCTAGGGATTCCACCGAGGCGGCCAGTCCCTTCGACTTTTCTGGCTCCGGGCTAATGGCGCTGGTAGTGCTATGCTCCAGTCCATCGCGTAGCTCAGAGATAATACTATGTTTTTGTTGCTCAGCCTCTTGATTGTGATCCGCCTCCTCATAAAAGTTGCTGTCGACGTCGCTGGGATCCGGCTCGCCTTCTGCATCCAGGTACTCGCAGGTGCTATTCGTATCCGATACGGCCAGGCTGGGGGACGTCTGCTGAATTTCCATGTTGCTAATATAGTCCTTGAAGTCGTCCAAGTCCAATCATTGCTATTATTTGGCAAAGAAAATTTACAACTCAGTCAGCGCGATGCGTTTTCCAGCACTTCCCATGAAACAGCTGATCCATGTTGATTCCCTGGGCTGTTTCTAATATCTGAAAATTTCTAAATTCTGGACATTTTTTTTGGACAGAAAACAATAAAACCACATTATGCAAGCTTTATTTTAATACAAAACAGTTTTTATTTTTAAATTAATATAGTTATTTAAACACATTAAAATTCATAAAATAAATTTAATTTTTAAATTTTTATTTTGTCTTTCAGTTATCAACCAACACAAATTTAGTTTATTTTTTTTACAACCAAAGAGCCAAAACTGTGTTGACAATAAAAAATGATTCCATATATTAGAACCACAGGTTCTAATTTCAGAGTAGCCAATGCAATAAAATGCCCGGTTCTAATTTCTAGAGTCTAGACAGTTCTAATATATGGGGGTTCTAATTTGCAAACTTTCACTGTACTATCTGCGTAAATATTCTTGTACGCGAATGATGTTGCACAGCACTGGACAACAGATGTTCTGTGGGACTCGCAAAAAGGCAAGAAGAAGAGTGGTTATGAAAACACGAGCCGCGTCAAAATGTTGAGAAAAACACTTAATAACTGTAAGTAATTAATGAAAACCTTGGTGAAAATTACTTTTAAATGCTCCTGGTTCATAGTGCCTCGCTTTAGCCAGCTATGCGGCCTGCCGCGACGGCTTCAAAGCACACAGGCAGAGGCTGCGCCGGCAATTGCCACCACAGTATCGACGGAGGAGTCCGAGCCCGAAGACATTGCCGTGATAGAGCAGCGGATTCTGAAGCATCCGGACTACTTCCAGGTCCACAACCTCTTCACCGTGCGAGACCTGTTCAATGCACGCGTGCACTATGGACACAAAGAGGGCTCTCTAGACGACCGCATGCGTCCGTATCTGTATGGCAGTCGGCTGGGACATTTGGTTTTCGACCTGGACAAGACGGCCGTGCATTTGCGGGATGCTCTCAATTTTGTTGCACACATAGCCTTCCGGGATGGCATCATCTTGTTCTTCAATCGCAACGCCCTCAATGCCCATCTGGTGGAGCAAAAGGCCTTGGAGGCCGGCGAGTTCTCACACACGCGATTCTGGCGGGGCGGCATCTTCACCAACGCAAATGTGCAGTTCGATGCGGTTACCCGTCTGCCCGATCTCTGCATTTTCCTGAACACCCAAAACAATGTGATGTCACAGCACACGGCGGTGAGGGATGCGGCTAAGATGGCCATACCCACAGTCGGCATTGTGGACAGCAATTGTAATCCAAATCTGATCACCTATCCAGTGCCCGGCAACGACGATTCCCCCGCAGCTGTTGAGCTCTACTGCAGTCTGTTCAAGGAGGCCATCCTGAGGGGCAAACGCAAGCGTCGCGAGCTGCTCGGCCTTCCTCCCTTGGACGAGACACAGCCGAGGCGCAGCCGCAATACCAAAACCAAGAGCAATTAGTTTTAGGATGAGAATTTGTTACATTTATCTGAATACAAATACCGCTGCTGTCTGGCAGAAAACCGTGTTGTATCTACCCACCGTCTGATGTTCTCCCTTGTGGGTTGATTTTGGGCCGTATCAGTGCCGTGCTCGTATCGAAGTCGCAGTGGCAGTTTGGTAATGGTGCCAATTGTTAACTAGGTAAAGCCCTCGCTCCAGCTCACTGGCTGGTGTCGGTTCTAAGGGGGCAGCACCATCTCGCCCTTCACGAAGCTGTTGCTGTAGTTGCTGTAATACGAGGAGTTGGGCCTGCTCGTGCTGTTGGATACCATTCCAAAGGTGCTGTTACTGCTGTAGTTGTTTTCCCGCTGCTGATGCTGTGAGTTATATTGTCCCATGGGCGTTGCCTGCGACTGCGGCTGGGACTGCACCTGCACCTGCGACTGGGAATCCGCGGGAAAGCCGCCCTTGATGGCACGGCCAATGTTTACACATGGCTCACCATCCGCCTGACCTGTCTGGATTCCTGGCCTCTGCTTCGGTATTTCCCAAAAACTTGGAATGCCCTGGCGACGCACAAAGACCTGGGTCTTGTCGGAATCCTCGCCCTTCAGATTGTCCTGCTGCACCCAGCGCTCGGCATGCTTGATGGTCAGCATTGCCTTGTGGGCGCCAATGTACTCCTCGGCCTTCTGCAGCCGCTCCAGCTGTTGTTCGTCGAGTTCTTCGCGCGGCAGCTTGCCGAGCCGCTGTACAGTTCTCTTCCAGTTGTGAAACTCGCGATTCTTGAACGGTTTCATAGCCTGCCGATACTCCCGCCATTGACGCTGGCGATCCTCTTTCGTGCCGGGCGGCGAATCTTCGAGTGGCAGGGGCGCCTCCGGCTTTTGCATCCACTGTCCGTTTATTTGGATGAAGGAACCGTTTCGCTTCTTTTTCGATGGCTGTCCGCAGTTCAACGAGGAAGCGTCCTTGTTGGCATTGGTTATAGTGTTGGCGTCACCATCGGATGGCGGAGGCGGCGGCGGTGGCGGTGGCGGAGGCATCAGGTACGTATCCTTTGCCACGTTTTTGCTGCTGTTGTTCAGCTTGTACTTCTTGTTGGGGATCTGGTTGGTTCGGTTCTGCTTTTGGCATTTATCCTTGGGCACAAGGTTCCAGAGACTCGGGCACTTGGGCATTGGTGGCTGAATGGGAGGCGCTCTATGACTGGGCGCCATCATGTCGTCCCAAAATGGAGGCGGTTGCAGTGGCCCTTGAATGTTGCAGTTGCCATGACCATTATTGCGGCGGGGTCCAGGGCCAGGTCCGCCCATGCCCATGCCCATGCCCATGTTTCCCAAATTGCAGTTGGGCATATTGGGTGGGGGACCATTGAAATTACCCCCAAAGCCCAGACCCATTGACATCAGCTGCAAGGGCAGCGGTGGCGGCCGACTGAGCGGTGGAATATTGTTTCTGTCCTGGTTGTTGCTCCATTGGTTAACATTACCGCCGCCGCTGTTGAAAAGTCTGTTGTCGTTCTGGGACCATTGTTTACGTCCGTTGTTGCTATTGTTTCGCTGGCTTTCCGCATTCGCATCTGGCTTAAGAGCTTCCTTGCACTTTTTCCAGTCCATGAAGGACATTGTCAACGATTTTGGGACCACCTCATCAACAGCTGCGTCATTCTCGTTGTCGTTCGATCTCTTCTGCTCAGAGTCCCCTTTCGCAGCGTCGTTCTCAGACATTTTTAGAGTGAGAATTTTTCCCAAAATTTCAAACAATAATTTTTCTCTGAATTTTCGACTAGGGATGGGAGAAAATATCCATAAAATGTCAATATAGAGTTATTCCTGTCGAATAGAATATATCGATATTTTACTTGATATATCGTTCGTATACAGTCAAGGGGGACAGCAAGTACTTTTCCGTTTATTGCTGTTTCCATCAATCTGTTAAAATTGAAAATTTTTTATTAATGCAAGCGGAAATGTCTTATTTGTCGGCGCTGTGGTACGGAAGGACGACAATGCACACCGAACAATTGGATAAATCCGATTACGCCGGACAGAAATGCAATTAACATTATTTTTATCTTCCTATAAATGAATTAAATTATTCGAATGCCTTAACTAGATTGAATTTGTCTTCATTGTTGCACTTTTCTTGTTTGTGTTTTTTTCGACAAATGATAGAAAATTAAAAACTAAAATTATCTTTACAATTTAATTTTCGAAAGTTTCTGCAGAAGGTACGGGAACTGCACTGCAGGTGATTGAGATCCCCAGAACACAGAATACTGAGATACAGATAGATTCGCTAATCTATCGCTAATTAGCTCCGCTAATCTGCATCTGATTTAGATTCTAATGTAGTGATACCCACTGGTGGGCACCTCTCGTCTCACATTGGTCAGCGGCTTAAAGAGCTTGCGTCTGGCGATGAGTATGTCAGAGTTGCTCCCACTGCTTCCCCCGTTTATGGTGGATGGCGAATCTATTGCCTGTGGCAGTGGCATAGCCTTGACCTTGAGCAGCATTGGACGGCATCCCGCGAACTTGAAGCGGATGCTGCCGCAGCAGTTGTGCCGTAGATTCGGCAGCTGCAGTTCGGGAAACGCCTCCCTCAATGTGGGCTTGGGCTTCAGAGCCTTGCTGGGATCGTCGCCGTGGCACATGGCCGCTGCCAAGGTGCTCCACTCCAACCGTCGTACGCCTGGCGTCGCTTCAATCCGGTAGACTGGTGTCTTTGCCCGCACATAGCGTCGTGTCACATTTTCCTCGTATGCACCTGCAATATACGAGATTTGGCATGGGATGGGCGATGGGATAAGTGATCCTCTTACGGGCATAGTGAACCATAAACGGCTGAAGCTTGGATGCCCCGCAGCCGTGCTCCAGCCATTCGTACAAGTATATATCGTCCCTGCCCTCGAGGAAGACTGCAGCCGGGGCCAGGTCCTGCCACAGAGTGTCCGGTATCTCATCCGCATTCAGTTTGTAGATGTAGGGTATAAACTCACGGAATGCGTACGCCCCTAAGGCGATGAGTCCGCGTCCCGCTCGGCTGATGTACTGGAAATCTAAAGGCGACCCAAAATTTATATTTAAAGTTTCGGGGACAAAGACAACCCACCCCTCTCGCTGCACACGTTGCGACCCTCAAAGAATCTGGCCAGGCGTCGCTTGATCAGGAAGAGGCATTCGGAGTGCAGATACCCGCTCTGGGAGGCCAGCTGGCCAATCGTTTCGCACAATTCGTCCACGAGGCCGTTTCCAACGGGACTGGCGAAGTAGCTGGACAGATTCTGAGGCTCCGCCCCAACCTCATTAGTGTCGTCGTCCGGTTTGATCTTATAGATGGTCTGCTGCTGCTGCGAATCAGTGGGAAACGCAGCCTGTTCCTGCGGCTGCTCCTGAGGCTCCTGCTTGCACACATCCATCCCTGGGTCTGGGAACTGTTCTGGCTTTATTTTGATCGGCTCCTCAAGCTCCATTTGGACCGTGTTGTCGCTGGCCTCGGGAGGCGCCTTTATGGTTTCGTAGGGAGCCATCAACTGGCTGACGAGCACCTCGGCCAGGTGGAAATACTCCTGGTGACAGGCGTTTGGGTTTGCCTGCGAATTGTAGTTACAGGCGCGGAGCAGCCGCCAGCAGCGTCGGCTCAGTTGCTCTTGCTGCTTGAACGCCAGCAGCTGGAGCATCTTGCTGACTATGACACGGTAGATGGAGCCCATTAGAGGCGTCTGAAAAGCAAAGGCAAGTGCCGAGGACTGGGTCTTCTTGTCGGCAAAAAGAGCAGCTGGAGAGGGTTTAAAGTTTCAAGTTATTTAAACGGCATTCAGCTGCAAAATAACCAACCTGTGACCATACTCTGGACACACTGCTTCAGCTGATCCGTGTGCTTGTCCTCCACGGGGCAGAAACTGTGAAAGTCAGCGTCGTCGGGTAGGCTGAGGCTGATCTCCTTCTGGAACTCGTCCCGCAGCTCGAAAATCTTATCCGAGTGATAGTAGTAGCTGCCGTCGTAGTCAATGCGATCCCAGTCGCTGTCCATGGCGCCCAGCATTGGCGGCACGTCGGCATCTTTGAGCACCTCATTGACTAGATCGTAGGTCACCACTCCGCCCGAATGGCGGGAGTATATCTTCAAGTTCTGCAATGGGGAGAATGATGTTTAATGAGCCACAGTACTGCTGGCATACATACATTGATTAGCTCCCACACTTTATAGGATGCATCCTCGGCCAGACGGGCGCACACTTCCTGGGACAACTCCACGTCCGTTTGGTCGTGCTGCTCCCAGAAGATTTTTATGCTGCGCGGGTCGAAGCCTGCGTAACTTTTGTGATGACTCTGAAAAAAGGATAAGCGTCAGGCTAGGAAAACAATAAGAGCAACAATATTACAAACCATACGACTGGTGTTGCCCGAGGCCTCAGCCGCTGAGACTCCTGCCACTCCGTGTCCGCCTCCGGCCACCGCAAAGGAGGCATCGAACATGTTGTAGTTGGCATGGCTAGAAGTCGGTGTTGTGGGCGTCGTTACCAAATGTACATGGGTGGGCGTGGCCGGTAGACTTCCCACGCCCACAGCCGATCCCAGAGTAGAAGTCGCGGTTTTGCTTCCTCCCACCTCCAACTTCGTGGACTTGGAGCGCGACTTTGTGGACTTTTTGTTGACCTTGTTGTGCAAGGACTTGTTCAGCTCAGGGTCTGGGTTTGCAGCACCAGGGGTTTTCATTGTCTCGTTGGGATCGCTTTCCGGAATAGTTTAGATATTAACCATTTAATTGTGCGGAAAAAAAACAAAAAAATTTTCTGCAGCTGCAGTCAGTGTTGTAAAGAAGCGTTACATGCACTTCGAAAAGCTAATCGCCTTGCAACACTGCTTTATCAAACTGTTGATTTCCACTCCACTCTACTTTAATTTTGAATTAAAAAAAACACATTTGGTGGCATCTAATAACCATGGCAGAAGCCGCTAACGTGCGCCAGAATCTGCAAAATGTGCCGTCGATCTTTGAAATATCAGCGGCGGAGACGCTAGACAACCTGATATACCCGGCGCTGAGTAAAATCTTCGACTACTTTGGCCTGAGGCTGGACTTTAAACTTTGGGGCAACCTGCGAGTGAGGGAGGAGCTGTCGCCACTGCTGACCTGGATCCTACAGTACCTCTACCTGCGGAACCGCGCCTCCTCCTTCGGCGAGAGCTTCTACGGACTGCAGCGCACAGAAACTGGAACGGGAGAGCTCCTGACCCGACCCCAACAGTTCACCTCTGCCACATTTCTGACCTTCCTGCCGTATATAGAGCGTAAGCTGCGGACCCGCAGCGCTCAGCACGACGACACCTACGCCTGGGAGTCCTATTTAATCAATCTGTTCCACGCCTACAACGCCTCCAGGGCTGTTCACACATTCGCATACCTCATCAAACAGGCATCCAGTCATTCGCCGCTGTTCCGTGCCATGCGCCTCACCCTGCGATACCCGAGTGAGCCGCCTCAGGAGGACAAGTGGACTTACATATTCCTGAAAATGTTGGAGGTCCTGGCCTTCTTCCTGCAGTTCATCCAGTGGTGGTACTCGAACGATCAGCGCCGCAAGGTCGGCGGCACACTGCAGAACCCCGAGGCCATGCAGGAGCTAGATCTGCCAGAGGAGGTGAAGCAGACGCTGCCACAAAAGGGCAAGTGCCCCGTCTGCTTGCTCCCCCTGCAAACGCCAACAGCGTGCTCCGTTTCCGGCTATGTTTTTTGCTGGAAGTGCATCATCAGCCACATGAAGGAGCACGGAACATGTCCGGTGACGAGCTATCCCATCAGCCTGGACGACCTTGTGCGCATTTACGAAACGTAGCCATAAGACAGTGTTTTTTTTGTTGTACAATATTTAGTAAGACTTGTTAAATACATCCAAATCAGAATTCGCTGAGGAAGAAGCCCAGTCGTTGGTCGTGGCAGATGTGGACATTGTAGAAGTCGAAGTAGGAGGTGGACATGAAGAGGAAAGTGGTGCAAATGTTGACGAACTCACAGATTCCAAACAACGAATAGGCTGCAAATATTCAACGGATGATTAGTAGTCGACTAGGGACGTCTGCCCTCGGCCGCACTCACCAAAGGGAAAACAGAACTGCTCGTGAAGGAAGTAGCAGAACCACATGATGGGAACAGCGGCGAAGTAGGTCACGACCAGCTTGCACTTCAGCCTGTAGGGCAGCTGCTGCTGGGACTCCTTGCCCTCGCAGATATAGTATTTGTGGCAAAAAAAGGATCCGGCCAGCAGGATGGCACCAGAGACGAACAGAGAGATGGCCACCGCTCTGTGAAGCGTCGATTCGCCCGCAATATTCGGATATATGCCCCACAGAAAAAAACTGAATGAATTCTGCACGATTAGCAAAGCCACCAGGCAGCCAAAGGAGCGCACCTGGCGCGGAAGAATTCGTCGATAGTAGCGAAAGTAAAGCCAGCCGGTCAGCAGACCTAACGGCAAGTTCATGCAGCAGGTTAGCTGCCAGCCAGTGTGCTGGGACCTGGCCACTGCCGACAGGGATGGAAACACGTTCAGCCTCGTGCACTTGGTGTACGTGCTTCCCTCATAGTCTGTGAGGATTGCCATTAAGAGGTAGAACATGCTTGAGATCGGTACAAACGCGTGGCCAGCACCGAGCAAAGGGGCAACCCGAATACGGACTCGGCTCTTGGGCTGGACATCCTTCACGGAAATCGGCAGTTCTAGAATCTGGTGCATGGCGTTGTCGTTAATAAAATCAAGTACCAAATGCGAAGTGCCAAACCCAATTGAGTTCAAAGCCAACTGGGTTAATTATTTGTAAATGTTTCGGTTTCAACACAATCCAATAGAAATTCAATAGAAAAAGTTTGACATGCACACATATAGACATAGAATTGAGCTAAATTTCGATGTAAAACCTCTGAGGAATATGCTTAAATGTAAAATATAAAACCACCCGATGCGGACATGTGTAAGCTTATGTCTCTAATAGAACCATCCGATGCTGGTCGAGCCAGCCGCCTTAAAGCCATCTAAATACAAAAATATGTGTATAAATTATTAGTGCAATGCAATGATCTCATGACTGATCTTAGGCCGTTTAGAGCATCGGAACGAAAATCGGAGCGAAAATCGGAGGTACGAAACTAAATTCCTTTGGTAAAATTAAGTAAACTTTGAGCTTAAGCTAATACCGCGTATGTACAGAATACTCGAGAGTGGCTGGTCGGACGTGAATGTGGTACAGGGGCTAGGCTATATGCTATCGCTATCTAGAATTGGGTTAGGTAGAGCCCGTGCTTGGCGTCGCAGACAACGTTGAGCGCATAGAAGTCCCAGTAGGAGGTCATATGGAATCCCATGTTAGTGAGTACAACAATGTACTCGAAGAGGGCGAAGAAGGTGTAGACTGCAAATGGAAAGGGCATGGGTTTAGTAACTTTATTCAATTCAAATCCGCAGCAGAGCCGCACTCACCCCCTGCTTCGCAGCGGGCGTTGTGCCGGACAAAGCAGTATCCGGCGAGCCCAAAGGCCAGCACATTAACAAGGAAGAGGTTGCGCTTGTAGCGCAGCGACTTCTCCTCGTGCGGCAGCAGCACCACCTTGCGCGCATTCCTGTTGAGGAGGTACGAGATCAGCATGTAGCACTCGCTGCACGCAATGAACACCACAAACGCGTTGCGGTGCGTTTCATAGCTGTCTGCGGATGTCCAGAATGACAGGCAGAACAGGGCAAGATCTTCCACTACGTTGAGGAAGCAGGCCAGGATGCCGAGCAGTCGTCGGCTACGCCTGATGTGCTCCTTGTAGTACTCCAGATACATTTTGGCCACCGCCAACCTCAGGGGCAGGTGCAGGAATATGGCCAACCTCCATATCGTCTTCTGTGGCTCATAGTTACCTATGGCAGCCGACACCGACGGCAGGTAGTTGACCACGTCACAGTGCGTGTAGGTGGAGCGCACAAAGTCGAAAAGCAACGACCATACCACGCAGAAGAAGAATCCACCAAGGGGCAGGCTCAAGGCAGCGAGAGCCAATTTTGCAAAGGGCAGTCGGAAGAAAACGTTTTTGGGGTCGTTCAGGCGCTCGTACGTGGGCAACATGGCGGGGAGGCGGTGGTCAGATTATGGCAGGGCGCGGTTCACATACTTTTTTGCAATCAGCCCTATTGAACTATTATTAAGCAAATGCCTACGTTGTAAACATTGCAAGATTGGTAAACAAATTGATCGATAAGAATAGATAGCTATCGACGGAGACTAGAGATGAGCACCAGATTTGCTATTGCATGGATCAAATAGATGGAATGGAAAATGTGCTAAATTAAATTTAATTTTATGATTAAAATGATCTTATATAATTGTGACTAAACCGTTGTTTTATTGCAGCGCATAAAAAACGCCAATTTGCAACAATATTAACATCGAGGCTCGTATCGTTTCGTGGCAAGAGTTATATCGATTCATTGTGCCGGCAGTACACATCTCTAGCTGACACTAAACAAAACAACACGCGCAAAAAAAGGAAAAAAAATAGTTTTTGTTTATGCAGTAAGTGTCGCATCAGCATCGTCATGGACATACTTTTGGCCAACGTGAACAGCCTGCAGTTCAAGGCGGAGCGGGATCTCATCGAGCAGGTGGGTGCCATCCCGCTGCCGTTCTATGGCATGGACAAGTCCATTGCGGCCGTCTGCAATTTCATCACAAGAAGTGGCCAGGAGTGCGACAAGGGTAGCGCGTGCCCGTTCCGGCACATACGTGGCGACCGCACCATCGTGTGCAAGCACTGGCTGCGCGGCCTCTGCAAGAAGGGGGACCAATGCGAGTTCCTGCACGAGTACGATATGACAAAGATGCCCGAATGCTACTTCTACTCCCGCTTCAATGCCTGCCACAACAAGGAGTGCCCGTTCCTGCACATCGACCCGCAGAGCAAGGTGAAAGACTGTCCCTGGTACAAGCGAGGCTTCTGCCGCCACGGGCCCCACTGTCGCCATCAGCATCTGCGGCGCGTGCTCTGCATGAACTACTTGGCCGGCTTCTGCCCGGAGGGACCCAACTGCAAGCACATGCATCCGCGGTTCGAGCTGCCGCCCCTGGCGGACCTCAGCAAGGATCAGCTACACAAGAAGCTTCCTACATGCCACTACTGCGGCGAGCTCGGTCACAAAGCCAATTCGTGCAAGCAATACGCGGGTAGCCTCGAGAACCGCAACAATATCAATGCTATGGACCACAGTGGCGGCGGCGACGGCAACGACGACGGCCCTCTCAGTCATCCGCCTCCGCCTTTTTTGAAAATACCAACGCCGCTGGAGGAGATCACCTGCTACAAGTGCGGGCACAAGGGCCACTACGCCAACAAGTGCCCCAAGGGCCACCTCGCGTTTCTCTCAAATCAACATAGTCATAAATAGTGCCTAGTGCCGTGGTTATTGGTATATGTAAGTTGTAAGAGTTCAGTATGTAGAGCAGAATAAAAATCCCGTCAATCAGCCAGAGGGAAAGAAAAACGTTTTACCTTGGGTTTAAATTCTGCCGATGTTCGAATGGACTATTCCCAGTGTGACCATGGAAAGCGACATTTATCGCACATCAGTATCGATAGCACTACTGTTTTTTTTTTCAACTGTAATCGGTTGGGCCTGCAAAGAAAACCTCGACACAAATTGCGCACTAAATTTTCCTTACCCGTATCGAGGAAAACAAACAGATTCGAGCACAGTTCGTTCGTGAAAAACCACAAAACGCTTACAATGACTATTCTGGCGAAACTGAGGGGCGAACCCAAGGACCAGGAGAAGGTGCCTCTGCCAATGAATCTCAATGATGAGGCTCTGCTGCACCATGGCTCGCTAATCGCTGTAAGTTTATTCAATTAAAAAATGCCACTTTTTGCGCAACGTTTTCGTGTCCTTGCGAGGCCCCCGAGTCTCCACTGTCCTTCGGCCCCATAAAGCTACAAGTTTCGTTTCGTCTCGTGCGACACAAGTCGTCATATGTACGACGAGTGGGGGCTCTCGTGATTTGGGTGGATGAGAGCTGTGTTTTTGGGGGGTGGGGGCGGGTGGTCCGAATTCCCGTGTTCGTCTCTGGGGCCCAGCCTCTGCTTGGCAGCCTGACATGCATATCTATTGATTTTTCCATGCTGGAATTCCCGCTGGCCTTGCACTCTTTTTCTTCGCCAGCAGTCGACAGGCCACCCCCACTCCCATGATGTGTGCTCATTCACTTTTTTCCTGGGCTCCTCCCCGAAGGACTCACACTCCCGCTCCCGCCCACTACTTTCTTGAGGTCAACTTTTCTTCCTGTTGATTGCCTGGCACGCAGATGGTGGCCCTGAAAATGGGCCGAGGGAAAACCCATGCCAGTTCTTTGTGTGTGTTTTTGCAATCGCCCTTTGACCAGCGACCAGCACAGCTCGTCGTAAACACAGTGGCCCCGATAACATAACTGCTTGCGCACAACTTTCTGGAATAGGAAAGTTTATCCGACTCAACAGCTGGGGGTTGGGGCTCGAGCTAAAATTCAGAGCCCCGTCCAACGATGGCGAGCAGTTATCTGAGTCACCAGCCCCGTTCTGGTTCTATCAGTCCACTGAGTGTTCTCTGTGCCATTTGGGGTTCGTCGGTTGGAGCCCCTGTGGAGCATTTAAGTTGACATTTCCTGTTAATTAATTGCGATATGGCGCAACCCACAGCCCAAAGGTGCCTACAACGACTCCGAGGCCGATGCCGAGTCAATGGTCTTCAATCGGCCGCAGCACCATTGCCTCAAGTCCTTCTTGCTCTTCCTGATCGCCATGGTGGTCATGATGATGGGAGTGCTTGGCGGCTGGACCCTCTACAGGCTGTACGCCCCACCCCATGCTAACATGCGCTACCACGCCCTTTGCGAGATTCCGTATCCCGAGGACTCGATCGAGATGCCACGCTTCTATCCACGCAGCGACGATGGGTTCGCCCAGATCAACTGGCGGGCTCTGTTGCCGCAGTTCAGTGGCGCCAGCCTCACCGACGGCACTGGCCTGGAGCGGCGATTTGGTGACGAGGACAACTTCTTCCGCGAGGAGATTGAGCTGGACAGCAGCGATGAGGAGGGATACGCCAAGATTGATGTGCCCGATTTCAAGGACGGACGCCGCGGCCGATTCATGCACGACTTCAAGGAGAACCAGTCGGCCATCATTGACACCACCACCAACCGGTGTTTCATCATGCCCCTCGACCGGGAGACCACTCTGCCGCCCACCAGCTTCGTCGATCTGATGAAGAAGATGGGCACCGGATACTACAACATTGACACGGAGCGAGTCCGCCGCAACATGCGCGTGATCACGCCCCGCATCACCGATCTCTCGCTCATCTCGGAGCGCATTGCCAACGAATGTTACGACATGAAGGTCTACATGATGGAGAAGTTCATCTCTGGCGGTAAGTGGCATGCAACCAGGCGCCAAGTGCCTATCCCTATCTGAAACTATCCTTTCCCATGCTCTATTGCAGTGTCCAAGCGGTCGGCCGATCCTCTTCCGGATGCCGGAAAGTATGCCGCATTCATGGGCAAGGGAGTCATCGAGTATGATCTGTCCAACATAGCCGAGGTTGAGGCCTACGAGGCGAGCGAGGCCGCACAGCAGCAGGTGGCCTGAGAAGCTAAGGCGCGAACCTTTTAAGCTACACTACATATAAAATAACAAACCTAAACAAATTATTAATTAGAATTGATTTATATATAACGATGATCGATCTGTTTGTAGTCGCCAGTTTGAGGAAAATGCTTATAAATCAGGTTAAAACACGGACAGGCAGGTCTGCAGCCACAGACAACCGATCAGAACAGAACCGAACCGAACAGAGCAGAACAGAAAAGTGTATATCCATTGGCCAATCGATGACTCTGCGAGCGCGTAAGAGGTGCGGGTGAAGCGCTCGTGGGATCTCGCAAGAGTTTTTAGCAAATCATAGACCGTACGTGTACGTACTACGTAGTAAAGAAGCGAAAAATGTACCTAGAACGCAATCAAAATGCGATTGAAGAAATTGTGACAAATACGAAAGCAATGAATCAGCCAGGCAGTAGGAGAGTAGGGTAGGGTAGAGTAGGGAATATTTTGGGGCGGTACACACATACGGAAAGGAAACAGTACCCCATGTTTTCCGCATCCGAACACTCCCTATCCTGGAGTTCTTAATAGTAATACCCGAAACGAAAGAGGAAAACGACGCGCGACTAGGCATAATGCATTCCATTCCAAGTACATAATTTATATAGTATATGCTCTTTAACTATCTAACAATATATGTTTAGAACGAGAACACGAGAGATCGACAGCTATTTACATACACAGTACTCGACTCACTCGACTCGTATACATATGTGCAGCAAAGGCAGGACAGAGGGAAACAGACGAGATCGAAATCCGAACAAAAACTATCAAAAGAAACAAACAAAAACAGAAACACTACTCTAAATGTTCTTTAAAATATTTAAATGTATTAAACGCGAATTTGTGATCTTTAAGCCATCCCTGTAAGTTCTACTATCTGTTGTTTATTGGGACTAAAAGTAGGGCTTGCACAGGGCTATGGTGTGGTCCACGCCGTAGGCCACCTTCGTCACCTTCCCGTTTATGGCCGCCTTGAAGGGGAAGAACTGGTCCTTCTTGTGGCCCAGGCCTAGATGGCCGAATCGGTTTTTGCCCCACATGAACAGATCCCCGTCCGAGTTGACGGCGCCCATGTGAAAGACCCCGCAGCCGATGGAGACCACGGTAGTGGCGTTGCTGAAGTCGTTGCGCCCAAATAGGGGAGGCAGCAGGTGCTGCGGCTTGGATGTCTGCTCGACAAAGGGCCCGAAGCCCAGGATGCCGTAGCCCCAGGTGTAGACCAGTCCCTGGTCATTCAGGGCCATGCAGAACGAGCCGCCAGCAGCCACATCCTTGATGAGGCCGATCCCCTTGGTGAGCTGCAGGGCGCGCGGTGTGTTTATCTGGGTCTGGGCGTGCTCCGAGTCGTCTAGCTGCCCATACTCCGAGTTGCCCCACCCGAATACGTCGCCCCGCTCGTTGAGTGCCAGCACACAGTCCGAGGAGCTAGTCAGCCGTACAATTCGCTCCTTCTCGATGTCGCCGCCGATGAGCGTGATCTGTCCCGCTGTGTGGTAGTTTCCCTGCCCTGTCTGTCCATCGGCGCCCCAGCCGCAGGTGTAGACATGGCCCAGCTTGGTGAGGAACATTGTGTGGTCCTGGCCACACTCCACGCTGACGATCTCGTCCTCCGTCCCGCAGATATCTGCCTGAGCGATCCTGTGGATGAGGGCGCTCCGGCTGTATCTCTCGTCGTCGATGATGGATCGACCGCACTGGCCGTACGAGTTATTGCCCATGGTGAACACGGTTCCATTCCGGGTGATCACCACGAGATGAGCCCTGCCAGCGGCCATGCTTCGCACCTGCATGTCCTCGTCCGTCTCGTCATGCTCCCGCGGCAGTCGTATGGCTGTGGGATATATGATCACATCCAGGTTGGCCGGGTCCTTGGGGTTGCCCTTCACCTGGAAGCCCAGCTGGGAGTCCGTGTTGAGGCCGCTGCCAAAAAGCGTCTCACCGTCGGAGCGCTTGACAGCGTAGGCGGTGAAGCCGTAGCCGGCCGCCACATCTGTGATCTCGTTGTTGTTCGAGAACTGAAGCCGTGTCGGGTGGTGGACCATTTCGGTGTATCGCTCCTGGGCCTTCTTCACGCTGGTCTGCAGCCCTAGGGCGCCGGTCTCCTGGAATCCCCACACATAGACCCGGTGCGCGTGTGGATCCGACACCTTCGGCGTGTAGTCCTTTATTTTGGTCTTGTCCTGAGAAAGCACGCTGCGCTTAGCCTTCGTTGTGTAGCTGCGAGTCAGGCGGGGAGCTGTCCATGCACCGACCCTCACTGTGCCCAGCATTTCCAAGCAAATTGGTTTTTTTTTTTTTAGCAAATTGCAGGTGCAAAACAATAACAATACTCGATACTTAGTCGGTTGAAAACAGTGCTGGAAAGAACAAAAAATTTTAAATTTCATTATTTTTTGTCTGTGGTTATGTGGTTGGAGGTTTCTCGTTAGGAGATTGGTTCTCCAAATCCTTTTTATGCTCGTTATTCATTTTCTGGACTTCGAAATTATACTTGAATCGCACCATTCTAAAACTATCGATACTGTCGTTCCTTTTGTGTGTACAGATTAATTTAGCTAGCTAAATAAATTATGTATGTTTTCATATTAAAAATTTATAGAACGAAATATTTATATTTACAGGCTTACAATAATTAATCAAATAGTTTTGTAGTGATATTCTTCTAATGCGCTATGGTTCTATGCGCATGTGCTACCTAATAGGCCGTTTACACTGGGGCTGCGTCATGCTTCTTTGCGTCTTGGCGAAGACGCAGTTTTTTTTACATAGGTTAAGCATAGGGCCTTAGTGGTGGCAAAAAGTTGCGTCAGTGTCTGATTCATGTGCGTCTATTCGGTATATTCGATTGATTTTGCTCATTTTTGGTATTTTCTGCCTATCAGCGCAACTATCACCACTAATAACAACAAAAAATTGTAGATCAAAAATCAAATTTTGGCGCTAAAAATGTATGATTGTGCAAAAAGGTGAAAAAAATATACATAAAGTCATTAAATAAAATACTTGAAACTGATTGTATTATTATCATATGAAATTTTTCTGACCCCCTGATGCCATTAAGACACTGCTGGAGACGAACTTCGGTGGTTTTCATAATTTGAAGAAGAACTCCCACAAACTCTACAATGAAATGTCTGAAAATAATATTTAAATATGAGAATCAATTCTTTTTCGTCCATTTTCCTGACGTCTTGCTTAATTCTGTTGATTTTCAAAAATTTGTGTATCTTTCCTTGTCATCAAACACCCAAATCCAAATTCAAGACGCACGTCTTCCAATGTAAACGCCTTTTCTGCTTCATTGCGTCTATGCCGATATCGATAGCAGACGCGCCCAGTGTAAAAAGGCTATTAATGTGACGTCAGTGTTGCTGGTCAACCCAGTTTCTTTTATGCGTATGTACTTTTGTATACCTTATTTCTTTTAATTGGTGTTAAATGTTTTGTTCCAAGCTCCATTGAAACATTATTTATGATTTTATCCTAGATTGACATGTTTTTTACCTATTAATGTGTTTTGTGTTTTATTTATACATTTATCCAGTTCTGATACCTATTATTGGTGCCCGCGAACTGCAAAATTTCAAAACAGATACTGAGTAGTTTCTGCATTATTTGGAGCCTGAAATTACAAACAATATCTCAATTCCCTAATATCCATTTTCCCAAGGTATGCAGATTGTTGCTCATTCCGTGCCAAAGTTGCACAACAATGCTGCCTATTCATTTCTCCATGCTGCTGAAATTTTTCCCATACAAATCAAATGTATCTAACGGAGTTTGGCGGTCATTTTGAAAAGTACTTTAATGTACCTTAAAAATTAGATTGATGAAATCGATTAAATATACTTTTATATACCGATATACCACTCAGCAAATCATCGCGCCACACACATATACATATACGACTATATCTCTTACTCTCAATCTTCGTTTCTCTTCTTTGCGCAATTCTCTTTTACTTCTTGGTACCGTGCGTTGCATTTGAGCGGGAAACGCATTTGGAAAATAGTTGATTTTTGCGAATTATTATAGTTTTACAGTCAAACCAAAGCCATGGAACTACCGGACTACCTCATCCGGTTCTATGCCAAGGACGAGCAATTGCTGATGGAAAATACCGAAGACAGCCAGAGGGAATTCATTTTAGAACTATATTCGAAATCCGTAAGTAAAACCGTAACCACAATTGAAGTGGATGACATCCACACATGTATAATCCGGGCAACAATTTGCAGAAGGTCACCGTTGAGGATCTGCAGCGTAATCACACCCCCGAAGAGGTGAGAGAGTTGTGTGTTCGTACAAAATTACGCGTCAACATGACATACCTCAACTCGGTGTGGGACGCCAAAAAGCTGCTGAACAAGACGAATTGTCTGGACAATCTTTCGGAGAGCTCCATCAATAGAGAACTCGTCAAGTGTGTGCACAGCAAAATGGTGCAGACATACACGGACGAAGATGTAGCCAATGCCAATCGCGTAGCCAAAAGCGAGCTGAAAAGGGCTAACAACATTCGTCTAGATCGTTGGAAGCGTCAGCGTGAGTGCCTATCCCCGAGGGCTACAAGTTCTTCACTCTCTACCTTGTCTGACACTCCTTCAGAAGACTCGTTCTTTCAACGGCCAGCGACCCCAGAGTTTTCGAGCTGGGATGAGTCGGACACTGACGAAAATCAGCAAGACCATCCGATGGATAGTGTGCTCTATATAAAGAAAGAGCCGAAATGGTGAGGCACTGAGCTGGTCGACGATGGCGATTTGACACGCGGCCCTTCAAGGCAATTCTGAGAACATGTCCCTGGAGTAGGGCAGTCTGCAGTCACAGTCGCAGCCAGTTACATCAAGCATTGAGTATTTCAATGATTGAAGCCATGAATTCAGGAAATTCAAGTTTATTGATTAATAATTAATATTACTTTTAATTTAGTATATATATATTATATACATATAATATATTTTGTTTTGCTCTATGAGTGATTGAACCCATGTCGATAAAATGAATTAATTAATTGAGTAAGAATATTAAAAACCTTAACTAACAATACAATTGTCGATCTTCTCGATTTATTATTTTATATGTAAAAATTTAAACGCATCAAATCTTGAAAAATCTTGCCGATCATGGATATAACAACATGCGTGCAAGGCCATACGATTTTTTGGCACTCAAATTTTTCCGGCTCCTGCAGGCTCTCTTGAAATTGTGTTTAAAAACCAGAGAGAGCGCTCTAGAGCAGCGGTGTTCACAAGATATAACGGAAAAAGCCACACGCAGCCAGACAAAAAAAAAAACAACAACCACCGCCTTCGCTTGTTGTTGTTGTTATCTTTGTCTGCTGCGCAGTGACACTTCCCGTTATGTCTCGTGCCCACCACTACTCAAGATCCAGCCGCTCTCTTGTATGCATACACGACTGTATGTGTGCACACGTATTCTCATGTATGGTGATGTGACAATATTAAGTTGTCTTTGGATAAACCCATTGTCGACCAGTGGGTATTTAAATACAAACACTAAAAACATTTGTGGTTTTCCGTAAGATACATGTTTCTCAGACCACGAAAAGGAGGGGAAAGTCTAGTTTATGCGATTGACTGCTTGCTCTTACTGTAAATAACAATAAATTACAATAACAGCATAACTGTTATACTGTAACTAAAAACGAAAAGTATGACTTTTCGATGAAAAACTGTTTAACGAGAGGGGGGTTACGTGGGTTAAGTTCGTGTTTTTTCCAAGGGTATATTTACGGTATTTTTTGAAAGTAAGAAGTTGCATGGTATATTTCTGACGGTCAGGCGAGTATATTTTATTGATAAGTCCGCGGTCACACTGTGGGCGACTTCTAAAAAACGGCTCCGGTAAAAAAAATTAAAAATTAAATGAATTAATAATTCGGAAAGTGTTTAAAAGTGTTTAACCGTCTCAATAATTGCACTAATTATCGTGTGCATTGTCGGGTTAAATCGAAAAGTGTCGAATTAGTTTGAATTCGTGTGCTTTCGACCGCCTCAGCAGCATATGTACATACAATACACACACACACACATACTTCATACATAAAGAGGAGTACATAAATCCATACATACAAATGTACGTACATCGGAGAGTATTATAATTATAATCGTGTGTAAAGTGCAATACCCTGGATTACAGCTGCTGCAAGTGCAAGTGCAGCTGCCGGATCCGCAAGGAAAGAAAGTGAAGTCTCCTCCGCCGATGCCGTCGCAAGGGGCTGGGGCCGCTGGCTGCTGCTAGGCACACCACACCGCACACACGGAATACACGGAATCAGGAACAAGGAATAGGAGTTGCCGTTGGTTGCCGCTCCCCCGCAGCCGTGCCCTGTTGTCATCGTCCCCATCGAATCTCTCGTCGTCTCCGGTAGGTACACACAAAATATTCGGCTGCTCCTTTTAGCTCCGCTCCTGTTTTGTGTCTCTGCTCTCTCACTTAGTGGTGTCTCTATCTCACTGTCTGTCTTTGCATCGCTCTCTCTCTCTCTCTCCCCGCTCTTTCTTTGGCAGTGTGTTGTATTTGCTTGCTCTCTCCTTCGGCAGCACCTGGTGGTGCGTACGCATTTACCGCTGCTCTCCCTCGGTGGGTGGGTACCACCAGGCAAGCAACCCTTAGGAGTTGGTCCTCGAAAGTGCGTTTTCCCAATGACACTTTTTCTTTTTTGGGTAACGTAACCCATGGTTCGTGCCCCTTTCTGCAATCCTGCAACGACCGGCGGCACACAGCTAACTGTGCCACATTCCCCACCCATCCCCTCAACACCAGCACCACCCCACCGTTCAACGCCGTATCACGCCCCGTCTATCCTTGGCAACTACCAAACCAACCACCGCTCGCAGAATGCGCAGCAGCTCTCCGGCTTTAGTGCTCTCAGATATTCGCTGCATCCCTCCCTACAGCCACAGTCCACTCGGCAACAGCCAATCCTCCCAAATCGAGTCCCAATCCCAAACCCAATCCTCCGTACAAACAAATGCTTAATCAACTCTCGAATGCCCACATAATAAATGATCTTATATAAACATTCCGGATGGGCTTCCTCTAGCATCGGTTTTGTGTCTGTTGGCCTTTGCCTCGCGCGACACCAGATAACACTCCTCTACTCAGACTCTGAATCGCCCCATCTGCCACATTTGGGTTGCCCCACTTTCTGTTCTGTTCCCCCATTCAAATCGAACCGGAGTCGGTCTGTGACTTGTTACAGGGCATAATTCTCCGCCGTTTTGTGCTTCCAATTTGTTTGTGATTGTTTTTAGGGCCACTTTGGTGGGGCATGTATACATATGCATATGCCTATGTGTATGAATATGTGTCTCCCCTTGGCTGCTCAGCGTTAACTGCTTCCTCGAATGGAACCGAACCGAGTGCTTCCGTACTGCCTACCGTTTCTGGCCCATCCAATCCAATCTCACCCCATCTCCATCTCCGTCCCAATCCCCATCCCATCCAAGCACAAGAAACTTTCCGCCTCATAAACTCGTGGGGTTGCCTATCCCCAAGCCCCCTCCCCTCCCCCGCTCAGGCACGTGCAACTCTTTCTTTCTTTCTGTCTTTCTTCTCTGACGAAATGAAATGTTGTCAAGCCAATGGGCATGGATATGGATATGGATGGATGGCTGGTGGATGTGCCCGTAGATGGGAATGTGGCTATGTCAATGTCTTGGCTGTGGCACTGGCTCTGTGGCTCCTACTTATGCAAGGCAAGGCAACAACAGTGAAAACAAAACAAAAGCCGAAAGAAAATCCAAATCCATCGCCGCATCGCAGTGCAGTTCATTGGCAGCGGGCCAGCCAAGCGTTTCATGTTTTTCTTGGTCGTCGTGGTATTCGTCCTCCCCCTAGCGCATTATCAGGTGGAAGGCAAGCATTTGCACAAACATAATCTTTTTGGTTCTGTTTTGGGTTCGTTTTCAGCAGTCGGCGGAACAACACTTTCTCCGCTATTTGCCAACGGAAGAATGACTCAGAAATATCGCACTTAATCTGGAATTTTTCCCATATCTCCATTCAATATCAGGCACAAGCACAGGCACAGCAAACCCTTGAGTAATCGATGAGAAATAAACAAACAAGCAAGCAAGCTCTTATCTAATAAAGACAACCTTTTGTGATGTGCCAAAGACCCAGTTCCTAGTAGGAGATCTAAGACTCTGCCATTCAGCCAATTATCAGTAAGGGAAAAAGCGAAACCGCAAAGCCAAGGCCCCTGTCTTGTGGTGTCTGGTGGCTTCCATCGTCTCTGCCATTCTCTGCCCACTTATTGATTTTTAATTATTGAAGAGGGCGCCCTGGGCTATGACATTGACTTTGATTTTGGTCTCTGCAGATCTCTGGCCAACGAACTCTACCACCTTTATGGGGGGCAGCCTCTTTGAGCCGCCTTATGTCATGCTTCTGCTGCTACTGCTCTTGCTGGAGTTTTGGGACAGCTGTTTGGTTAGTTGGTCTGTCTGTCTGTCTGTCTGTCTGTCTGTCTGTCTGTCTGTCTGCCTGCCTGCTGATAAATCTCGGCAACCAATTTCCAATTCCACTTCGAATCCCGTTCGTGACTCATTGCGGTCGCAGTGCGCTCTCTTGTCGATTGGTCGTTGCTCGATGGGCCCCTCGTTTCCCACTCAGATGTGTGAGGGAATGTGTTATGGTTTCCATGGTTCTGAAACCTCCACAGCCATACGGCCGTAGCTGTAGCCGAAGCCGTTGCCAAATCAATAGCCAATACCCAACACTCAGTCCAGCACTCGCGAACTCTCATTCGATTCATTCAAATTGAAGAGTCAACACAGCAATTGAATTCAATTGGTGAGCCAGAGGCTGCTGCTTGCTGTCTGTCTGAGCAACTTTCACTTGCCTCACCGTTGAGATTGTTTTTAATTGCAACACAACCGGTACCGGCCCCTGTCCCTGTCCCACTCCCAGTCCGAGTACCAGTCCCTGCTCCATCCATCCATCATCCATCGCTCACACATCCATCTCTATATCCATCGCTCGCTCGCCTGCTGACCCGAATACAAACAAACATTTTGTGCGGATGCTAATTTTGAGTTATGTTTTTTAAACGTATATTAAGTGCCTTACGTATTTCGAACGATAATCATTTTCACGCTTCTTTATGCAGAGATTTAATTTCGAATTTCCTTTTTTCTTTTCTTTTCTTTACTTTTTCTTGGTTTTGCGTTGCGTTGCGTTCTCGTTCCGCGTTTTGCATTCCACCTTATCGTTTGCTATTCATTTCTGTTTTTGACTTGCTGCCACCTGCCACGCATATGCATCTGCATCTCACGCCCATGATCATGTCCAGATGCTAAGGCACAGCAGAAATGCATTGGCTGGAAGGCCGCCCAGAGGCAGCAACTTGCAGCAAGCATAGAATGCAGCCAGAGACTAACCAAACACACAGACCAGCAGCAACACACGAAAAGAACACTGAATGAATACTGAGCCCGACTCTCGTTTGCATCCATCCCGCATCTTGCATCCATTACGCGCAGCAGCAGCTGGAGCCGGCCATCGCTAGCTAGGCAGCTAGGGAGCTAGGCAGCGCCCGAAGGAGCGAAGAAGGAGGCCCTTGTGGAGGGAGGAGCTGGTCTGGAATGTTGGAACACCCACAGCGGTTCGCGCGTAACATCCCCGACTCCTCAAGCAGCAGCACCAGCAGCAGTGCTCATCATCAGCAGCAGCAGCAGTATCCGCCGCCGCCGCCGCAGCATCAGAATCTGAATCTCAATCAGAATCAGAATCACAACCAGACCTACCAGTACCGTCCGCAGACGCAGGCTCAGGCACCTGGATCGCCGGCGCACCATCAGCGCCACTCGTCGCTCTCCCAGCAGCAGCAGCAGCTACAGCTGCACCATCGCACCCTGTCGACCGCCTCCAGCTGCAGTGCCCAGCACAAAAGTGTGACTTTCGGCCAGCCAGCGATCGACTACAGCAACGGCGGCAGCAGCAGCGGTAACTCGTCCAGTTGCAGCGCCGCTGGCAACGCTGGAACCCAATCAATGGCGGGAAACATGAAGCACGGTAAGCGCTGAGCTCTTGATAATCCATTGGACTCTCTATAAACGTTTTTCTGTCTTCCTTCATTTGATGCGCAGGCAAATCTCAGGAAGACGTCTGCTACGTGGTAGCCAAGTACGATTATGCGGCGCAGGGAGCCCAGGAGCTAGACCTGCGTAAGAACGAGCGCTATCTGCTGCTGGACGACTCGAAGCACTGGTGGCGTGTCCAAAACAGCCGCAACCAGTCTGGCTACGTGCCCAGCAACTATGTGAAGAAGGAGAAGCCCTCGCTCTTCGACAGGTGCGTCCACCCACAAGCCCCGATCCCAGAACTAAACTTAAGCCTTCTTCTTGCTCTGATTTCAGCAGTATTAAGATCTCTCTATATCCACATATATCCGTATCTATATCTTTATCTGTATCCGTATCTGTATCTGTAGTAGTATCTCTTCCCGACTCCTTGTGTTGCTTTGATTATCGTAATTTATGTTTCAACTGCTTTCGGCTTTTGTATTTCTGTGTTTTGTATTTTGTAAACAAATTCCTTTTGCTTTCGTTGTCACTTTTGTCACTCAAATGTCATCGTAAAAAGAATCTTCAGTATTACGACATTTCGGCCAAGTCCAACTATAACTTCGAGAAACCATTCCTCTGGCTGGCCCGCATTCCACCATTAAACCCTATATGAAGAAACCCCTTAGAGAATTGCCCCGAAGTGCGTGATAGCCTTGATCTGATCTGTGTCTTTTGCATCTGTCTTTGCAGCATCAAGAAGAAGGTGAAAAAGGGCTCCGGTTCGAAGACGCTGCCCAACTGCTCGCCGTCCCGGCAGATCGAGAGTCCAACCATGTCGCGACGCTTGCCCCCCGATCCGGCCGAGGCCATTGGCACGGCCATCGTCAAGTACAACTACCAGGCCCAGCAGCCCGACGAGCTATCGCTGACCAAGGGCACGCGAATCCTCATCCTGGAGAAGTCCAACGATGGGTGGTGGCGCGGCCAGAGCGGCAACTCCGTCGGCTGGTTCCCCAGCAACTACACAACCGAGGATTGTGATAACGATGGCGAGATCCACACCTATGCCATGGCCGAGAACGTCCTCGACATTGTGGTACGCATTTTTACGCGAGACAACGATAGATTCTTGTTGCATCTAATGGATTTGTTATACTCTTGCAGGTGGCCCTCTACAGCTTCACGTCGAACAATGACCAGGAGCTGTCGTTTGAGAAGGGCGACCGGCTGGAGATCGTGGATCGGCCCGCCTCCGATCCGGACTGGTACAAAGCTCGCAACAACCAGGGCCAAGTCGGTTTAGTTCCACGCAATTATCTCCAAGAGTTGAATGACTACCTGGCCACGCCCTATCGCAACACTAGCGCCGCCGGCAATGGCAATGGCAGTGGCAGCAACGGTGGGGCTGGTGGCGGCGGCGGTGGAGGAGGCGGCGGAGACTCCATGGAACGCCGCAACGAGGGCAACAACAAACCCTCCTCGCAGTCCTCCACTCAGCCCATGGAGCGACCAAATTTGGCGGGCAAGACCTGGTACTACGGCGCCATTACTCGCAGCCAGTGCGACACGGTGCTCAATGGCCACGGCCATGACGGCGACTTCCTCATCAGAGACAGTGAGACTAACGTGAGTGGGAAGAGAAGTCTTGAGAGGTTTTTTCGTGTGCGGGCTGGAGCGTTTTTCTACAACCTTCTCCTTCACTTGCAGATGGGCGACTACTCGGTTTCGCTGAAGGCCCCCGGTAGGAACAAGCACTTCCGCGTGCACGTCGAGCAGAACATGTACTGCATTGGCCAGCGGAAGTTCCACTCTCTGGACCAGCTGGTCGACCACTACCAAAGAGCGCCCATCTACACGAACAAGCAGGGCGAGAAGCTGTATCTGGTGCGGTCGCTGCCCAAGGCCAATGGAACGTAAATTGTCACAAGGAGGAATCTCATCGATTGGCATCATTATTACCCGTATTAAGCATACACAACACAAAGATATACCAAGGCTAACTTATAGGCAGCTCAGCAGCTCAGCTCGACGTGTAGTTCAATGTAGTTTCCAGATTCAGATTCAGTTTCAGTTTCGGATTAAGATTCAGATTCAGTTTAATGCCAAACCAATTCGAAGGTTCAGCGCAGTTCAGTTTAGATCAAACCGGATCGGATGGGATCTGTGGATCTGTGTACGAGTGTGTGTGTATATAGATCTTATATAGCCACGGACAAAGGACCTTTTTGTACTTTTATATAATTAAATTAAATTAAATTAACGCTTAATTATCGCATTGGCTATGTTAACGAGGGAAGCAAGATGCAGAGGAGAAGATAAAAAACACACATCACATCACATTACCTTTTGTGAGCCGCCTTCGGTGGTGGCAAGTGAGGGATGAGGGATGTGAGAGGTGGGAGGGAGAAGTTAGAGGGATTCAAAGAACAATTCTAGATGTCAACATGCAACATTACACTTACATAAGTATATAAAACATACCATATACATACATGTGCACATATTACTATATTCTAAAACGAAAGTTGTAGCCGACTAAAATGTACACAGAGGAGTAGACCGAAGAGACTAGACAGAGAGCAGGAGATGTGAAATGAACGCTTTTAACCCAGACACTTGAAAATGTAATATGAAATATGAAGCATACATACATACATACATAGATACATATAGTACATACCTATATAGAGTATATGTACGCAAATCAGTAGGATGATGTCTATTATCCGTGCATAACGATTACATATGTATAACCAAGTCCGCGATATAGTTGTTTGTGTATGTACATACATAAGTGATGCACAGGCAGCCCTACCATGCCACATGCCACACGCCACACAAATCACCATCACCACAGACGACACTCAACTCAACCAAAAGCCACACCCACACACAGCCAGAGTGAGGATCGCTCGCTCCTACAGTCATTTTTGTTATTTAACCATTTAATTATCGACTACGATATAACCATAACAAATACAATTGATATCTCTGGGCAGCTCTGGCTCCAGATGCTGTTCGCATAATTATAAAACATAATCGAATCGTTTGTGCGGCACTACGGCCAGGGGGCAATGGGGGAGGGGGGGGAGGCTTATATACGCCATATACTGTACAGTTGATGCAATGCTAACGCCTAGATACCATTTTCAATATAAATACTATATTTACGATTAAGAGTAGAGTGCAGCGATTCCAGCTTTAACTTTTGTTTAATTATTGCAATTACATTTTGTTTGCCTTTTTTGATGGCCCTCTGATTATGATTATTACTAATTTTATTATTTTGTTTTTATTTAGCTCTAGGAAAGTGATTAGGGAAACGATGATTAGATACGGGGGGAGTGGCTGCCAGACGAGGAGTTATGTGACTTTCGACTTTCTTTCATATGCGAATTTTTAATATAAAAATTAATATATACGAGTACATAAAAATAAACATTAAATAATTTATGGTAATTTAAACAATTGCTAAACCAACTAGTACTAAAAAGGACGAGAACAAACTAGAAATTATACCGAAACGGAAATGAATAAAAATACATTCAAATAAATTTAAAAAAAGTTCGGGATCATTCATTCACTATCGACTCCAACCGGTTATTATGATTTTTGAAAATATTGGAAAATTTATAAAATGTCATTATATTGATGACACACAGCTTTTCTAATTTCATAGCAGGACGTTTTTATGGGTTCAGAGCACCCAGCTGCAATAGCTTCATTGAAACCAGCTGTAATATTTTCTTAGTAGGTAGCAATAAAAGATTGTTAGCCTCCAGCCTTGTTACTTTCATAGCAGCCAGCTTGGTACTTACAACCGAACTTACGGTGCCATCCTTTCATGCGATCGTAATGTCTCCTTTTGATAGCTATGTAGGGGGGGGGGGGGGTTCCCCACCAAATTACAAAAAAAAAAACAAACGATTCAATCAAAGAGTATTATGCACATAGCGTTCTTATTTGTTTTTATTGAAATTTTTTAGTTTAAATAACTTTAAGGCTTCGATAATGTTTTGTTTGTAAGGCTAAAAATGGAAAAATTTCTTGCTTCTTATCTGGACATGGGCATGGACATGTGAAGAGTGAGCGTGTGAACGTGATTCATGGATGAGGGTCGGTTCCGTTCCGTATAGGGGGGGGGGGGTATTAGATTTGGGGCTTACAATTATAAACACTCCTCTCGCCGACAATGACAGACCGTGTGTACGCACGTACTAACGTCTGTTGGTGGTGTAACAAAGTTAAACTTTTTTTGAGCTGAGCAATCTGCACAGCACGCCCGATATCGCACGTACGTACGGCTGCGGCTGGCTTACGGAAAGTAAGCAAAGAGCAGAGCACAGGGCACAGAGAAGAGCAATGAAAACAAGAAGCAGCTCATTAGGTACAAAAGCATATATACATATGTATATATATATATATATATCTGGGGTGTGTATCAGTAGTATCTGTATATGGTATCTGTATCCGTATAGTAGTACGTTATAATTTATAGTTTTATAATCTTATTAAGGCCACACAATCAATAACTGACAGAGTTTCTTATCCGCAACGAAAGTGCTAGAGGGACAGTGCTAAGAGACAGTGACAGTGACATTGAAATCGCCAGAGATAGAGAGAAGAGAGTGAGAGAGAGCTTAAGCACAAACATACAACATTTGGACATAAACGTACTTCCCCATAAGATCGGGCAATTCGGATCCCCCTCTCACTAGTATTAGTATAGTGTAGGGCCCCACATTCGGAGGGGGCATTTTACAAGTTCTAGAGTTATCATATAAAAGAATATATATATATATCATCCAGCTCCTACTCTTGCTCTGGGGAAGAGTAGAGGAGCCTCCGGCATGTGCACATTTCACCTACATATGTACACAGCAATAGAGAGTGTGTTTTATGCATATAGTACTCGTATATAGTAGATTAATGCTATTGTTCGTAAAATGGACTAATTTCGGTTCGGTTCACTCGCAGCGCAGTTGTACCTTGCGTTCAGTTCCGTTCTGTTCCGTCCGGTCCGGGATTCCGCTTTGATCGGCTGGCTGTCAGCGCCTCAGCCAAGTGGGGGCGAGGGGCGAGTGTTTCTTCTGGGTTGAGTCTCATAAGAATGGATTATTGGTGTTCATGGCGCCGCTTGCCTGTGGAGAGAAAATTGAACATTAAATATCGATTCGGATTCCAATTTGGTTTGAGGAGGAGTCTTCCCCACTTACTGCAAAGGGATTGTTGGCCATAACTGGTGCCGGTTGCATGCTGCCAAAGCCGCAGCCATTGGGCAGGCCCTGGGCCATGGCATACCCGTTGTTATTAAAGTTGAAGAAGCTTGTCTGCTGCTGTTGCTGTTGCTGTTGCTGCTGGTGGAGATGGGACGACTGCTGGGGACTGCTCCCGTATGCATTTGGTATGAGCGTCAACTGGCCATAGAGATTCTGCTGCTGTTGCTGTTGCTGCTGCTGCTGGAATGGATTCACAACGTGACTGCTTTGCATCTGCTGCTGCTGGCTCTTAAAAGGATTTGGATTGTTGTTGATGAGAGCTGAACCCGGAGGATGGAGAAGGAGAACCCAATTAGTGACTGCTTCAAGGACTGCTCGAGTGTGCCAGCACTTACCGCTGCCAAAGGCGTCTGTCGCCTGGTGGCCATTGTTGTTGCCATTGGTGGGCGTCGGAGCCTCAGAGGCGAACGACTCACTGGCCTTCAATTCGCGCAGCTGCTCATCGAGGTCCTTGAGGGCCGCATAGCGGTCCTCGCTGGGCGCCACAGTCGGTGCACTGCTCTTGTGGCCTGCGTGCGTGTGGCCATTCTGCAGCGGGGCGCCTAGAAGAACATAGCAAGTGGATAAGTTGTTGAACCATGCGAATGGTGTACAGGATACAGGGGGGTTACACCGTACAGCGTACAGGATGCTTCAACTACTGGGAAACCAATAAACACACACAAATCAAAACTAAACACATATCCAAGGGATACAAACAAATCCGCTAACGAAAGAACGAATAACGAAGAACGAAACGCAACTGAAAGGCAACTAAAAACTTACTCCACGCAAATAAATCACTGAAATTGGCATTCAATATGTCGGAATCTTGACTTTGACTTTGATCTTGATTTTGCTGCTCCGATGCTGCTACTGCTGCCGACTCATCCGCTTGATACTCGTACTCCTCCTCCTCTGGGAAACTGCTCGACAGGGAGCTGAACAACAAATAGGAGGCTCGGCTTGGAGGAGGCAGAGGCTCTGGAGACTCTGTCAGGTATGACAGAAAGGGATTTGAGGGCGACAGAGGTGGCTCTTCGCCGCTGGAGTACCAGGAGTTGGTAGAGCTTGTGCGCTGTATCATGGAGTATTCCATCTCTGGCTCTGGCTCCATCTGCATCTGCTCCTGCCAGAAGCTCCAGTTCAACGCGGGCTCATCTCTCATTCTTTTCGATATTGCTGCTGTTTCTGCTGCTGGCGGAGTGACTGCTGCAGGAGGAGGCTGTTGCGTTGACGGCAACCAATTGCTATCGTCGAAGGGATCGTGGAAGTCGTGCCTGCTCCAGTCACTCACCCAACCGTTGAACACCGGCGGCATCGCCTTGGCCGCCCGGGGAGCTGCCCGCAAAGGGAGAGAGAGATTGTGAGACACTGAATCCATTGCTGGAGGATAGCGTGTGGGCGGCAAGCATTCTACATGGGAGCAAGCATGGTGCAAGCCGTGCAGCGACAGAGGTGATGGCAGGAGGTAGGAGGAGCCAGCGGAGCAAGCTCCTCGAAGAGTGGTGTACGCGAAAGACATATCCAGCCAAAGGATACGCAACTCAAAACTTAAGTAAAAACAAAGGAAGAAGGAAGCATATCCCCTGTGGGGGATCCCCGCACTTACCCACGCCATTGAAGATGGGCGCATGATCAAAGTCCGCGAAGTTCTCCGCTCCCTGGGTACCATTCAGAAGCTGATGCTGCTGCTGCTGCTGTTGCTGTTGCTGCTGCTGTTGCTGGTGGAGGTGGGCCGCTCGGATGGGCTGGACCTTGGCATATCCATTCGTGGAGCTCACCGACGAGGCCGAGGAGACGGCCGGCGAGCCCGCGGATCGGGCCGAGTTGGCATCAAAGATGTTGGCCGTCCCAAAGTCGGCCACAAAGTCGGATTCCCCGGCAAAGCCGTTGCTGGCGCAGCTGCTGGTGTCCGAGAGGGCCCCCGTAGACGTGGATCCTGCGCTGTTGAGGCTGGTAAGTCCTCCTCCTCCGTTCAGCCCGAAGGCGTCATGGTTGTTGTTGTTGTTATTGTTGTTGCTGCTGTGGTTGTGATGGTGATGCTGCGGCCTGCTGATGGACGTGGACGTGGCTGAGGAGCTGGAGACGGGGGTGCCCTTGTGCAGGCCATTGGCTGTGGTGCGCTGGGCGGCGGGCGGCGTCAGGTGGATGCTGGCATATCCATTGCTCGACAGGGTCGAGACACTCACTCCGTTGTGGTGGTGGCCATTGTGGCTGTGGCTCTGGAGGTTCGCGGGAGCGGCAGCCTTCAGGTTGAGCGACTTGAGCGGACTGGCCGGCTCCAGGTAGTACCGCTTCCGCTCGTACTTGTCGGTGATCAGCTCTCGCTGGTCCTGCTGCTGCTGATGGGCGGCTCGCTTGGGGTCCCACAGGCCCAGCCAGGTCTTGCCGCACAGCTCGTTCCCGTGCGCCCGCAGGAACTCGATCTCCTCCTGTGTGAAGGTGGCCATCGATATGGATTTCACCCGATGTGGCGGCGTCAGTCCGCGTCTGCAAAAGGAGAGAGACGGAGAGACGGCATTAGGCAACGCAAAAATTAAGTTTCGAGTAATTATTATTCTTTTATGGAGATTGCCTCAAGATTTCCGCTGCTTGCAGCAGGAGACGGAGCCAGAGAGGGGAGTGGCAGCGGGAGACGGAGACCAGGTGTCGGCGGGTCAGTGGGTCACTGATGTGGGGTGCCAGAATGCCAGAACGACCCGCCAAACGGGCGTACAATTTCAGTTAATTGCGCAAATTAATTTGCCCTGGCCTTGGGTCTGGGGTGGGGCTGGGGCTGGGTCTGCGTCTGGGCTCCAAGCAGCAATTGGAGCACTTGGAGTGCGGCCAGCAGTGTGGCATGAAAACTGAAACCCATAAACAAACTCAAAAGTTAATAGGGCGGGGGGGCTAGGGCAGGGGCAGGGGCCCGATAGAGAGTTTTCCAGCAAATTTGCCTCGCAACGAAAGCTAATTTCGGTTTTTCACGAATTTCCCAAACGAAACGAGCACACGAAACGACCAACAACAGCAACAGCAACAAGAAGAGCAACAACCACTTGGACAGACGGACAACAACATGGCAACAGCAACAGCAGAACTGGCTAAATGGAAAATCTACTATGTGCTCGACGGCGACAACGGAAATACTCTGCCTTAGGATTTTTGTCGATTTTTAGACAACGAATCGTAAAGTATTTGATTGGATTATCTTTAGAATAAAGATGAATGAATTTATTTTTTCCTACAACATTTCATATAGCTTATACAGGTCTGAGATACAGAAGGGACATTTGTGAGTAGACTCCAGGATTGAAATATCTTTAAACTTCCAATCTGTGTTTTTATTATTATTATTATATTTGATATTTGCAACAAGCAATTATTATTTTGATTATCTCCAAAAGCAGTTAACTGTTTTACGTAAATAACAAATGACATGGCCTACAGATAAGACAATCGACAAACATTCGTAAAATTGGCCATTGGACTATGACTCTAACAGTGCCTCATCGTCAGCCTTCATTAAGGAATTGTGAGGAAATGACTCAAAGGCAATACGTTTGAATCCAAGAGATGCCATGGTTTTCAGGGAATTGGAAACATTTGCGAGCAATCCAGATGATGACTAATTCAATGGGGGTTTCCGATTAAGAATTTTCGACTGATATTCTTCCAGCTTTTCCGAGCTGTAAGCTTCTCATGAAACGTATACAACCCTGCCAAAAGAACGGCATACCAGCAACAGCAGCATAGAGCCAAATATGCATACGGCCAGAAGAAGCAGAAAAGCCAGAGCCATAGCCAGTCGAAGTCGATGCTTGAAGCCGAATCCGATGGCAAAGCTAAAAAACTGGACGTTTCACATGAACGCTTCGCTGCGTTTCAGTTGGTTAACTAGTTGCAGAGGGGCACAAACAACAGGGGAGCAGGTGGAGGCAGGAGGAGGAAACGGTGGACGTTCTAGAAGCAGCTACTGGTTAATGCCAATCATCAGACACCGCCTGTGGCACAGCCAGTGCCAGCTGCTGAGTGCAGCAGCAGCAGTGGAGCACGAGATGACATCCTTTGTCATCCTTTTTTGCGCGCGTAATGCAATTGTGAATCAATTTGTGGCAGCAGGCTGTAGGAAGGAAGTCCCTGAGTGCCGTCCCTGGAAGCAATCAACTCTCGCTCCACTTCCTCCTTCTGCTTCGTTCGTTTGTCTCGCTCGCTGACCCAAGACGGACTTCCGCCGGCAACCAAAAGATCTGCGGAGCTGACAATCCGCGACGGCAACAGGCGGTGGCGGTTGGATGACCTTAGCCAACCAGCAGCCGCCTTTGGACCACTCCAATGGATGGTTCGCTCGAGTCCCAGGTCCGAGTCAAAGTCCCAGTCGCAGGTCCAAGTGAGAGCCGTGGCGACTAGAGCACGCACAGGCAGTTCGTTAGTTTGGTGTTAGGAGGCGGTTAAGTGGCATGCGGCAGAAGCAGAGGCAGCGACATGTGGCAGTAGCTATTTTTGAAATCCAGCGAATGAGCGGAGAAAGTGAAAGTTGCCCAGAGGCACTAGAGGCAGCGGCTGTAAGAGGCAGTGGAAGCCACACCAGTAGAGAGGCAAAGCCAGCCACGCCCACCGTTTACAGCATTTGAATCGCGCTTAGTGGATGGGAGGGATGGGAGAGGAGAAGCCTGGGGAAGGGGAAGACAATTGCAGCTGTAATGGCAGCAAATTTCCATCAAACGGAGGCCCCTCTGTGAAGTGCATAAGCGCCAGAGTGGGCAGAGTGGAGAGAGCGGCGGGAACATGCAGTGCAGTGGCATGTAGCAGTGTGACCAACCGATTGTTTGGGAATTTAATTTGAGGGGAAATTTGTAGGGGAACACTGGCATAGCATACCATTAAAAAACTATTAACTTGAACAATTTCATACATCGTATTTAATGGTTTTTGTTTCGTTAAATTAAAATTAAAGAGAATATTAGCTCCACGGAATACGAAAACGGAACTGTTCAGAGTATCGGTCACACATCGTTGATTGCAAATCAAAGATGGAAAAAACACTCAAAAATTAACATGAAATTTATTGCGTTGACAAGTTTTTGACCTTTCCCCTGGAATCTCTTGAAGTAAACTGCGCTCGGAAATTGCTGAAAAATTAATCGTATTTATAGGCGTGAATTTTTAATCTATATCTAGGGATATTTTACATATCAAAGTAACAATATTTTAATGGTGGGATGGAAAGGGGGATTTCAATGGGATGGTAAAGGTTACATACAACATTCGTACACCGTAGATCGCTCAAGTGTTGTTCAATATTAGCATTGGGATGCTAATTGAGAGACGAACTACACATCATCTGTACTCTCTGTACCTCTGCCACCCAATCTGTATCCCCCTCCGCCGCTCAAAGAGAATGCAATGCTAATTGGAAGTCAACAGAGCAGCGGCAGCATCAGCGTCGCTGGAAACTTGAAACTGTGTCACCACCTTACAGGCCAAGGCAGGGGAGGGTCCAAGGGAGCAATGAGTCCAGTAGGGAGGGAACTTCCTCATTGGAGAGCATCGATTCACTCACACTGCTACCCCCTACCATCACTCCCACTACAACAATTCTCGGAAGCTCTCGAGCTTTGACACCCCTCCAGATGCTGTAGCTTTGCTCGCCCTCGCCCTCTGCCCCAGCGAGCTGCTGGGATTCCACAGTTTACGCCGGATGGATCTCAATCTCCGATCTCGGATCTCGACGGTTTTCGTATCGTTTCGTTTCGTGCTTGGCACAAGGGGATACAACATACAAACACATACATACATATACATTCATACACCGACTGTAATGCAGATAAAGCTTAGCTTACATACACACACACACACACACACAGGCATAAACGGAAACATACACGTATACTAATACGTTCCTATTTGTCTTTGCTGAAAAAGTGCAAAACTTGTTTTTTGCGCATTTTGCGCACTCAGCGTGAAAAAAATCAACTCAAACAAAAACAAAAGTAAAACTCGTTGCGGGCTGCGGCAAAATACACCGAAAAGCAACAACAGCAACCATCACACCAGTAATACAGCAAGGCAAACACACACACACACACACACACACACACACAAGTGCAAAAACAAGAATAAAATTCTAGCTACACATACTTTAGATACCCTTACCGTGTCATTGTTCTTACGACAGAGCTTTCCAAAAGCACATTACATATACATACTACAGCCAAATAAAGGATCTGCTTCGCACCTGAGCCGCAACAATCGACACAGTTGTTGAAGCTGGGATTCCCTTTCCGCGCTACAAACAATAATACCAAATATAACAGCCCCTAAGAAGGGTATAACAATAAGTACAATCCGCGAAGGCAATACATACATTTAAGAAACAACAACAAAAGAGGCAACATCGACAACTTGGACCTACCACATGACGTTTAGCATCGAGACTTTAAGTGACGGAATGGCGGAGTGACAGACGACAAAGAAAAAGAGCAAAAGGCATGAGAGGCAACAAAAGCCATGAGGCAGCGAAGAAAAGCAAATAGCAAACTAAATTATGATAATAAATAACAGCTTAAATATGGAAAGAGACTTCTCACATATGAACTTTTGATTTTGGCTTCGCCTTCGCACTTGGACAAACAACACAAAGCACAAAGAAAAAAATGAAGACGAATCAAAGTTGAGAATACCTCGCAATTGGCTATGCATATGGAAGGTATATTGTAAATAGCACAAAGTGAACCGAAGTTGGCCATATATAGAAACTTGAATTAAAATGTTAATTTATTGTCATTAGTAGGTAGTCTTGAATTCGGCTATGCCAGAAGCTATGGATAGTCAATATACCCTTCTGCCCTTCGAGTACAGGGTATCACAAAACCATCTACGCAATTTCTTGAATATTTATACTCATTTCTTCTACCCATGAGTCATAGAAGGAAAGAGCGGGGTGAAGGGGTTAAGAGTGTTGCCAACAATTTCAACAGTGAATGGGTGTGTGTGTGTGTGTGTGGTGTCTGTGAGAAGCACATTCACTCTTTCGCTGAGAAATAGCAATTAGTCAATTTCAGAAGAGCGCAGAATAAGAGACCTTGCCCCAAGACTTTGCCCAAAGAGAGTGGTGGGACAGATGCTGGGGGAAGGGGGCTTCACTGGAACAGTTATTACAGTTATTAGTAATGGCTTCTGAGAGGAGCACTCGAGCAACTTGAGCTAATTTGATTTCAACACTTTCAAAGGTCAAAACTCAACTGGGTCTTCAATGGGTATGCTCCGGGCCCTCGAATGGGAACTTTTTTCCAATGGAAGGGCTACGGCTCTAGTCCAAGGGCCAACTTACTGCGTTTTATCCCAACTAAAATGGAATTCCGGGGCTAGGATGGCTTAGATGCAACTCGCACCGCGTTCAGAGCGCGACTGTCGCCAACAGATCCAACAAAAAAATGTCACGGCCCCCGTCTGGACAAAATGCGTTTCAGACTAAGCGCGAAATAAAACGCATGCAAATCGCGCGTCGC